TCTCCATTCTCCGCAATGCTGTGCCAATGTGGTACTGCGAGTTTTAAATTGGTTGAATCAACCGTTACTAACTACAAAGTTTTCGTCTTCGCACGCCTCCCCAGCATTTTCTTTCAACTTCTCAAAAATCAGCTTCGCTTGATTGCACACAGAATTCTGGCCAACAGGACAATTCTTCACTTTAACTTAATTATCACACCATAATTTCAGCATTGTTTTCATCTCAGCTATAATACCACGAAGGTCAAGAACTATGCTGGAGTTCAAGGATAGAGCATTTTTCACCGCATCGAGAATTCTTTCTTTATCTTTTAACATTGTCCTTACTGTAGATTCTGGTAGCTCAAATTTCTCTGCCAATTCAAAAATTTTCATCCTGCTATCAAAATTCTTGATAACGTTAAGTTTACATTCCAAAGATATCTTTTTCCTTTTCTTACTAGGTTCAGGAGAATCAGATTTTTTCGTTTGGACGACAGTTTTTTAAGGGTTCAGAAAACGTATAACAAAACAATATTAACTGTCGTCGATCGTAAAATCGTAATCGGCCACGTAGAATTCGCACGAAATGCGTCAAGTGCGTATCACAGCAAGAGAAACGCTGAAGATAGCAGGCGGCAGTGTTTTGGCAAACGAAAAAAGCCGCGTAACTGCGAGTTCGTGTAAGTTGTGGTAGCGTAAATTGGGATATTACTGTAGATAACATTAAAAATAACGATGTCTGACTGAATCGGTGAAAAAGCAGTGTAATGAAAGAAAAATATATTTCTCGTTTTACACCAGCAACTCTAGTGCACCGCCTCCTTGCTCCTAGACACCTAGGGGGACCATTTAAGCAGGCAAAAGCAGCACGGTATTTAAACCCCTGTAATGCATTGGACGTAAAGACCGCGTCTCAAAATGAACTTTACCTTTCCGGTCAAGAAATACACCATGGGCTCTTTCGGGACCATCACCTTCAACCTGTTCAGCTCTGCCAATGCTTCTGTGAACCGCTCTTGCATGACCAGAAGTTTCGCCTTGTGGAAACGACACAGAGGATTGTTCGGTACGATCGACACAGCTTTGTCTAGCAGTTGCATAGCTCCTTCCAAATTCGACATCCCTTGCTTTATCTGCAGTGTAGATAAATATGCAGACACTATGATATCAACCATGTGACAAGTTACCAAGCTCATATGACACATTAGTATGGCGTTCTGCGGGTTAATATCGATTGCACGTTGAAAATGGTACCCGGCTTTTTTGATATCGCCCATTTTATAATATGCGAGACCGAGGCCATACCTACAAAAATCGGAGTTCAAGCAGAAACTGACGCAATGAAAAAACAATTATTACAGACTAACTGTGTTCCGTGTTTAGTCACTAAGTGTGAGGGCAACATGTTACACATGGTATGGATACAGCAACAAAGAGCAAAAATCACGGCAGAGTGCCCAAAAGAGCGTCGAGTAAATCGCACATAACGTAACGCGTCAATCGAAAATCGTCGAAACAAACTTGAAACAAGATAGTTCTGTCCATCTCCCAAGCAACGCAACGAGCAAACTTCAACAGATATTAGCAGGAATGAATTTGAAGCGTTCTTGAACATAGTTCAAAGTGGCATTCCTGTGATCGCTGGGCACCTGTATAAAACACCTCTATGTTTGTCGCAGGCTAGAGCGGAAATAATGAAACTTATCAAAAACTGATAGTATCCTGACTTAAATAATCATGATTAATATCAATCATAAATATGAAAGAATAAGAATACCACGCATTGTAGCTCCTGGGTTTCAGACGAAGAGCGGCACGAAAACATTGCATGGCATCGTTAAACTTTTCGCTAGTACAAAGTTCCAGCCCAAGCAGATTATACGCATAACAGAAGTGCGGCTGCAGCTAAATACACTCGATAATGGAGGATCGTTTTCAATAAAAGATATAAAAGTCATACTTGTATGGCTCGTTTGAAAAAACGTTGAGCCGATTCCTCATCGTTTTGCAAACTGAAACAATTACCGACGGCGCACCAAGTCTAAACAAAAATACATAAGTCTAAAATACTTATGTCCAGTGTGAGAATTTTTACTGTTTGGAATGCCTGACACTCGCTATTATGATAATGACAAATCAGCATAAAACTGTTTTAAGTGCTACCGATAGCCTAAGACTAGAAAGGCAAAAAATTCGGGCC